GAGAAGAGGTTCTATCGAAAGGCAAATAATTATATTACGAAGTTATAACTATAGTGTTTAATAAAGTTGTGAATAGGAAGCTCTAGGATTAATTTCGATTTGTGTCATACTTCCAGTGACTTCCGAATAACAAATGACTCCAACTTTGGGGAGTGCCTGACCTTCAACTACAAGGGAAATAAAGTTGTCCGCCACTCTGGCTCTTTGGTGAGGTCCCCACAATAGTAAGGCCCTCAATAATCCATTTACCTGCAAGATTTGCTCACCTAATTCCTCTACCTTCTGCCATATAAATACTCCTGATCTCATGAAACGAAAACAACAACTCCAATTTCGAATCTGTCAGGTCAAATCAGTCAGCTGGACGGTTGGGACAGAGACGTCATTGACGGAAGTAATCTTCCATCTTTTTTAGGTCGTTATTTAGAGTGGCTTCCGTTTCCTCGAGTGTGCTACCTTGCGTTGCCGGTGACAAGTCCTCGCAATACGCAAATTTGCGGGGCCAGATCGCGGGCATGTCACTGATGTAGAGGTTGAACATGGCTGCTGCTACTACGGAGCCCTGAGGGAGACTAATAATATGAATAATATGGAGACTAATAATAGGAAAATCAATAAGATTGAATGGCTTCTATATGAACGAAATCTTTATCTAAAATTGCATATCGAGAGATACTAGGCCTCTGCTTTAAATCACATCCTCATGGAAAATAGGCTTTGTGTCTTTACTAAGAAATCAGTATTTAAATATTGTAGGTACTTCTTAATATAGTCGTATCTTTATTTTCCCTATGAAATAGCTGTGTCACCGCGACACGTTTGAACCTTCGTAAATACTACTTTGGCCCACGATGGACTCCAGAGGGAAAGACGCTTTCCTTTACTTACGTAGTCTTAAAACGTTGTTTTGTTCACTCTGGAACTTGGACTTCAGGATTTCAGACACGGAGCTGATTCTCTTGAATTATATTTCTGAATACGAAATGATAAATGAGGGAGTAATCCTTCATGATGATATTAGGCTTTCATTATGAGAGACGTAACACACCAATGTTATTTTTGCATGCTATCTCCTTGACAGCTGTCCTGAAATCCTTGAATATTTTAAAGAAGATCGACAAAGAAGATGCAGACGGGAGTTATTGCCGTTGTCCACATCCCTGCACGTAAGCAACACCCTGAGTGCGACCCCGATCCCATGAGCTAGTTGAGACCATGATAGCTTTCTTTTAGAGAAGAAATATTTGACTGGTCACTCTCGACGGGGAAGATGATTCCGGATAATGCCTTCCTCATGGATCTCATTGCTTGGCTGAGGAACGAGAGGAAAAAGTCTCTGAACGAAAGCGTGCTGAAAGCCGAAACCTACTGCCCACGTCTCACGTATACGAATATTTTTTCCATACTATTGATATATACGTTTGACCTCCTTAGTCCTCCCTGGATATCTTAACTTCCTTAACGGAAATATAACTTATCCTCGGAGTTGACTAATTTCCTCATCCGTAAACTCGGGTAGAAACGAACCTGTGGTGTTTTCACCTTCTGTTTCAGAGACGAAGAAAACCTTGCTGTGGTGAATATTTACTACGAAACGATGACAACAGAGAAAATTGTGGAAAATCCAACATACAATGCAAGTGGAATATTTTCCCATGATTTCTCGACAAAATATCCCAAACCTTGTAACGGAGTGCGACCTAAGAGGAAAATTTTTTTTTAACAGTGGACGAGCTTCATCGGTACGTTAGGGGGATTACTGGGTCTTTACACAGGACTGTCATTCATCTCAGTTCTGGAAGTACTGGAATGGATGCTGGATCTCATTTTGTATGGTTGGAGGAAGCCTCAACAGGAAAAAATTGGCTCGAAGCGACTGGCCGTCATCACCTGTAAGTTAATTTGCATTTTTGGGCGTTAATTAATATATTCGGGATTTAATTTATTATTCCTTCCGTTAGGGAAAGACTCCCTGGAATTGGAGCCTGGGCCCACGAAGACGAATGCGCTGAATCCGAGAGCCCCATATGGAGAACTACCAGTTTACACTCGCTCACACGAGAAGGACGCGCAGAGGGCTGGATTTGATTTTGTCTTCTCTAACCGATTGAAGTGTTAGATCTAAGGGTATATGATACCTGGACTTTCAGCCTTTGTGTGCGATCCGTACGCACATCCATGGATTTTCATGCACAATAATGTACCCCCTCACATGTACGCACAGTAATATCTTAGCTTTTTCCTAGTTGGGCCTGCTAGAGTGCTCATAGTAAAAGTTTTGGGGCACTTTATTTATTGTAAATTGGTTTTGACAAATTTAATGGTGTAATGTAAAAGATTACTCTGAAAAAATAGCACTTTTGATCATGTTGTCATTGAAGCAAAACAACTCACACTTGCCGGGCTCACAGGGTCGGAAAAGCTTAACTGCGAAAGCGCGAACGCCGATCGCACAAAGAGGAAATATTGTTTCCATTTTCAACTTATGACGGAATTTTCTCGATTAGTCACTGCTCTAAAAAGAAGTCGTGCAAGTTCAGAGCATGCCGAAAAGATTTTACCCAAAGTTTGATATATATAAGGAACATTATATTTTCTCCTCAACCCAATAAATTAAGGAAAATCGCAAAGTTCATCTCGAAATGCCTAAACGTGTTTGTCACATCCATGTAGTAATGCATTGAAAAGTGCTTTGAAGTGCGCCTGCATAGGCTTTTCTTTCATAGCCTTGGAACCTTTCCGATAATGGACTCCGATAAGTCTCATTTGTATGATAAGTCTCCTTGTTGTAATATACTCTGAAATACTGTTCCAATGCATATTGATGGGACTTGACAGATGTGGGAAGATCGTTGTGGTAGATATGGTCAATGTTGGAGGGGAGTGGTGAATGGTGTTGAAAGACAGTGAAGTGTAATAGAGAGAGAATGGTTTGGAGAGACGCCGATGGGACGAAGCATTACTTTTGTACGTGCACCTCATACAGACGGCCACAGGGCGAAGTAGTGTCTTAGGATCATGACTAGTGGTTTGCGTTAATTGTCACGCTGAGCGAGTTTTGATTGAAGTGCCATTTGTATTTTCGCATTCATTAGCTTTGTTGAAACATGTGTTCTGGTCCTTTGTAAAGCTGAGGCAAATTGTAGATGCAATCTGACAAAAAAGAATTAGTCAGAAGAGACTTAGCAAGCGTTATGTCATTTCCACAAGAAGCGGACAAGCAGCCTTTTCGGAAAGCGTTTTATTTTCTTATATTCTCTTTCATGAATGTACATTGATTTTGATTTTAAATCCGATCTTGGACTTCAACCTTGTGGATATGAAATAAAAGAGATAAATTGAACATGCATCCTTATTTACGTTGTGCATTCCCCATACGTCATCAATCAAACCTTTTCTTTCACGAGTGCCCCAGATTGATCCACGCGTTGCAATTGAAATTCTCTCGGTACCACGAAACAAACGCTTTAATGAAATAATATGCTGTTGAATTATTCATTGCAACTTACAGGCTGAATGACCGAAACTAGCATAATTGGATGATAAATATTTCTGGTCAGACCTATCATGAGATATGCACCCCATACACGGAGAAAAAGCATTAATAGTACTCCATATGGGAAAATATGAACATATTTATCAAGTCATTTCCTGTAGTAACACTAGCACTATAATTATCATTATCTCATGCGTCTGTCATCAAAGACATCACAGAATGCAGGCAGACTCCTGACTTTAGCAACGTTATGAATGACTGCGCAGGCACCAATGACAGCACATGCATTTATTGGTGGAATGCGAAGTTCCGCCTAGAGACAGTCAAAACGTCGCTTCCTTATGCAGAATATTCATGGCATGAAATCGGCATTTTAGGCGTGAAAAAAAATGTCAGGACAGATTTTTTTAAAGACCAAAATGCATCAATTGTATTGTGTGCATGTTTCCTGCATGTGGTGCATTTCGGCCTCTTTCTTCATACGATACCCATTCTCCGCTTCCCCCGGGGGGGAGGGGGGGAAATCAATCCGAAGAATTGAATATTCAATGTTCATCGCACACATCTTCTGAAGGAACACATGCAGGGAAAAATGGCACACGATGAAGCACATACAATTTTAAGCTAAGAGAAGAGGGATATGGAGGCACTGTTTTTCACTGAGGTATTATGATCCAGGCATAGCCGAGAGAGATCAGAAAGTTGTGTTTTGATTTCCGATGGCAACAGTTGGATGAATGGCATTTCTTTTTTTTTTTGCTTCTGTACAGTCCTTCACCCGTCAAAACAAAGTTTTTTTTAAATTTATTTTAGAACAAGTATCCAAGGAATTTGAAAGGCGTCCTAGTTGTCCAGAAGTTGATCCCGTGTTTCCATTTGATGAGCTCCTAATTCCCTGAAATCGAAACAAAATAACCAAAATGAATTGCCAATTGATGACCTAACACAACCTTTCGGCAGTACATTTTTACTAACTAGGAATACGCCTCTATGCAATGAAATCCAATATTCTTTTATGCATTCATGAAGTTCTCTTCATGTTATATGCCAGTACAGTCATAGCTGTCTGTGTACATTCATTATCATTACATAATAAATACAACTTCAATTGGGGAAAAGGAATGATAATGCGGACAAAGCGATTGGTTTGAAAAGGGGATTGTATTTTGTATTTTTGGTACGAACTTTTTATTTAATGAGATGATAATTATCATTACATAATAAATACAGCTTCAATTGGGGAAAAGGAATGATAATGCGGACAAAGCGATTGGTTTGAAAAGGGGATTGTATTTTGTATTTTTGGTACGAACTTTTTATTTAATGAGATGATAAGGATCGTACTTTGAGACCAAGTTTTGGGTGAAGGTTTTTAAGTTTCAACTGATCGTGCATTATATTGATTCCATATTGATAACTATTGCGAATTTACGAGTTGTTGGCCAGTCTACTATATTATTCACGTTTTTAGCTTCATTTTTTTTAATTATTGGATGTAATTCGTTTATACATTTTGAGATGAAGGCTTACCAAGGGAATTGAGAAACTTCGCCTTGATGTCATCCCTCTCCATTTCCCCAATAATTTTTAAAACACATTCGTATGCCAGCTTCGGATTTTTTTTTAATAGGGCGAAGAACGCGGAATCGATCCGTTCAGCATACGACTTCTTTTTAAACTCCAGTTCCTCTGCCATGGAAATGAGGCCTTTCTCCGCCAACTTATCAAGGAAGTCGTCCATGTCTATGAGTGTGTTTTTGTCCTTAAAGATGGTCTTCAGACGTCGTAAGGCAGCTGTGTAATCCACTTCTTCCCTGAAACACGCAAAAAGATGTTTGATGTCAACAAGTACGGTATCGACCTTCAAGGATCAGCTTCTGTGTGCAAACAAACTAATGTAATTCTTTTCATTAGTTCCTCGTGTAAAAGATTAATCTCTAAAGATTTTTAACAGAGTGGAGAAGTAATCTAGTAATCACGAAGCTCACTCTTCAGAAAGATCCTTAATGATGAGACTTATAAGAAAGAAAGAAACTTTATGTGAGTACTTAATTACATAATAATACGCGTTCGTCCTATAGATGTTCTAACTAAAATATATGCTTAAACAGAATGCAAATTACAGTGCCGGCAGAAAGTTTATGGTAATTGTCCATTCATAGCTTCAATCACAATTGCGATAAAATGCTGCTTCCAAGGGTACATATATCATGCTGGCTAATTGATTATTCATAGCTACAGACGTGGGTTTGCCAAGGAGAATGCTAAGCGCGCGTGTGTGTGCGCGTTTGTGTGGTAGGTTAAGCTCAAGACATCTTGTGTTGGTATGTCTCTTTGCCTAAACAAGTCAGCATGTGTACTGAACCATAAAGTGCATAGTATCGAACCAACCATAACCAACCATTAGCAAGGAAATATCAACATATCTGCACAGCATCCGCAGGGTTACTGTAGGTGTGGTTGCTGCATTTTTTATGCACAAGAAGTGATGGGCAAGGCAAAACAATTGACAGAGGCCATCAAGATGAAAATCATCACTTTGTCAGGCCACACCTCAATGACCCAGCAAGAGATTGCAAGAGAATGTGGTGTATCCCAGCAGGCAGTGAGTCTCATNATTATCATTACATAATAAATACAACTTCAATTGGGGAAAAGGAATGATAATGCGGACAAAGCGATTGGTTTGAAAAGGGGATTGTATTTTGTATTTTTGGTACGAACTTTTTATTTAATGAGATGATTAGGATCGTACTTTGAGACCAAGTTTTGGGTGAAGGTTTTTAAGTTTCAACTGATCGTGCATTATATTGATTCCATATTGATAACCATTGCGAATTTACGAGTTGTTGGTCAGTCTACTATATTATTCACGTTTTTAGCTTCATTTTTTAAATTATTGGATGTAATTCGTTTATACATTTTGAGATGAAGGCTTACCAAGGGAATTGAGAAGCTTCGCCTTGATGTCATCCCTCTCCATTTCCTCAATAATTTTTAAAACACATTCGTATGCCAGCTTCGGATTTTTTTTAAATAGGGCGAAGAACGCGGAATCGATCCGTTCAGCATACGACTTCTTTTTAAACTCCAGTTCCTCTGCCATGGAAATGAGGCCTTTCTCCGCCAACTTATCAAGGAAGTCGTCCATGTCTATGAGTGTGTTTTTGTCCTTAAAGATGGTCTTCAGACGTCGTAAGGTAGCTGTGTAATCCACTTCTTCCCTGAAACACGCAAAAAGATGTTTGATGTCAACAAGTACGGTATCGACCTTCAAGGATCAGTTTTTGTGTGCAAACGAACTAATGTAATTCTTTTCATTAGTTCCTCGTGTAAAAGATTAATCTCTAAAGATTTTTAACAGAGTGGAGAAGTAATCTAGTAATCACGAAGCTAACTCTTCAGAAAGATCCTTAATGATGAGACTTATAAGAAAGAAAGAAACTTCATGTGAGTACTTAATTACATAATAATACGCGTTCGTCCTATAGATGTTCTAACTAAAATATATGCTTAAACAGAATGCAAATTAGGTTCTTGAATCACATTTCCTAAATGAGTTCTTCGATACTGGCTAGGTATGATTCTCTGATTTCATAAGACAAAACATTCTACCAATATTTTCTAATTGCTCATTGGGAGATGCGGTTGCATGGCTTTTCCTGTCAAAAACGTTGCCTCATTGGCGTAATTGGAAACAACGTAAACTCTAAACCTAGGAGAGCGTTTCTGGGATAATTTTCAAATTTCCCTTGAAGCAAGGAGATTCCGATTTGAAGCACCGGCTTATACGATCAGTCTTTCCATATATCCAAGCAAATCATTTGCATTATTTCAAAGATGCTCCAAGAAAACGCTACCTAAGGAGCCAGGTAAGCTAGATTCTCCGACCATGTTGCAGATGAAATCAAGAAAAATCACTTACCGTGTACTATTTCCTCTTTCTGGTTCATTCTGCATGATTGATGCAACTGGAGCAGATCTAGGCTCTTGGTGAGATAATGATAACCCCGAATCTGTTCGCAATGAAAATGAGACTATACAAATCTCTAAATCACACATTATGTCGCTACGTATTATTGTGGAGAAACCTTCTATATCGATGAGGAAAGCTCGAGCGTCTTGAAGGTGGATGCTAGTGGGAGGGGAGTGTGCAATCTATACTGAATGAGGCCCTTTCTGTGTAGTTTCGGCTCACTGACTGGCCTCCCTAGTAATCTCAATAAACTCTCTTAATCTAATTTTCGCGTGAGGGAAAAATAAGGTGAAGGCTGGTCGCGTAATTTCTAAATGGGATTCAAGGAAACGCTAACCACATGTGTAAATTAATTGATCATTTCGCATACGATTTCCTCTCAATGAATGGCGGTGGCTCTAGAAAGTAAACGAAACTATTAAAATGTGCGTCAACTGAAGCCACAGCTTCATACTATAATAATCTGAGGCATTCGTGCCTGTTTAAATTTGTAAATTAAAGGAATTTCATTCGCATGCTATGCGCTCCCGCGCATGATCTGACCAGGACTGAAATATGGAGAGATTGTCATTTTCCGCGACGTTGCGAGCTTTACTAGTGGAGATTTTCTTCATTTCCGCATTATTGACACATTTCCACCGACATTATAACGTTTTATGTCCATTCGTGGGAACTGTCTGCATGTAATTTATGTAGACAGTTGTTAAGTGTTGTCTGCAGGTATAACAAAATATGCAGGGATTCCCTTAGAAATCTAACAAATGTTCTAGATTGTCAACTTACTACGCACGTCAAACTTCACCTGATAATCGTTTCACGGATTATCCGCATGACTCTTAGTGACGAAGTTATTGACAGCTCTTGGAATATTGAAGGCGACAAGTAGGCGGCGATTCGAACATATTTCGGAATCATGAATCCAGAATATCCGATGTTCGAAAATAAAGTTGTCCGATTTTGTTGCTGCACTTCGTATCATTCGTTTCTAAGGGGCACATAACCTGAGATTGACTGAAGGATTTAGTCTCTGATGAGGAAGAAATCACCTTGCCAATTCCATTCGAAATATTCTCCACACGTCATGGTAGAACTATTGCCAAAAATGGTTCATGTGTAAGAGTCGTGGATCTGTGGAAGGGGCATTTTGTGAAAGCTTTAGCAATTCTATCAATTCCCTCTTGGCTATTCTTCCTGCGTCTGCGAATTTACATTCACCCGACTTCAGGAATGAAAAATGAAGATCTTGCAGTAGTAACTTGGGAAAGGATTGCTCTTTACTTTGCCTAAACTGAACATATGCCTTTCCTTCGAGGATAATCATTCGGAAAAAAAAGGTTTCATGACCCATGTATCTTTGCATACCTCATGGAAAGTCTCACCTACACGAAGGGCTCCGGCAAGAGTACCATGATCGTGCTGCTCAAGTGATGCTAGGAATGCTTGAAAAGCCCTATCTCCTTTTCCTGGTAGATTCTCCACCAGAAAGGAAACTTTCCCATTGACGTCTTTCTTGACGTTCTGCCAGAATTCCTGGTTTTCAAGGAAGCCCCCAATCCTCAAGTCCCGAAGGATGTCATCATGCTTGATGAACTCAAATTCCCTCTGGTATTTCAGCATCACATCTGCGATTGGCTTCCCAGAACCCATCGCGTATTAAAGCTCTCCTTGGCCTCGCTGGACCCTGGAATACAACGAATATGAGATTTACTGTAATTACCCTTTCAATAAATTATTGCCAGAAGGGAGTCTTCGATATGAAATACCAAATGTATGCCAACCAGCCAAACCAAAATATGATGGATTATGTGTGAATTAGATAGCGCTCAGAAGGAGCACAACTGTGCGGCACAGAAAGTACAACAATCATTTTAAAATGCAGCAAAGCACGCTCAAGAAAACTAGTAACAAATCGATCCCCATAAAAGGGAATTAACAAACGCATATTCCTGGATTAGGTTATCGAGCAAAGTTTGTCTTCTCGAGCGAAGAAACTACTCTTCCTAAATCATAAAAAACGCAGAGGAAGTCCACGCGCCCAACGCAATGCCTCCCCCCTCCCCCGCTCTACCAAAGTTCTCATTGATGGCAATGACGAAATCATATGCTATTTTTTAGCTGTTTTACATCCAAGACGTTTAGAAGACTATCTGAGTACACTTCTGCAGCATGATGTGCACGCAAAAAGTAATATGCATGGTTGAGCTCGACGATTTCCGATTTTGGGAGTTTATGGCTTTACTTGTACAGGAATCCAATTTCATGAACAAAATGTCACTATGATTTGATATATTACACCGTTCTCCATATATTTAAATGTTAACATTCACTCTCCGGGCTATAATTAACAGAAGACCAATCCTTTTCACCCGTTGGTGATCTTATTGACATTGAATTATTCAGCAATTCCAAAGAAGCGGGACTAAGAAATAAAAAATATTTTGCTTTAAGAGGATTAGGCCTACCTTAAAATTAAGGAACTCTCGACCTTGACACGTGATATCGAAATGGGTATAATTGCCTCCTGATGTCATTAACTACCTTGAACCTTGAACCTGGATAGTTGCGCATTTCCTGGAACTTTTTATTTCTAAGAAGAATGGGTCATGATAAGGAAAAACGGGCATTGTGAAACTACTTAGCCAGTGATGAAAATACCCGATGTTTACGACAATAATTGGTCACGTTTCAAGGAACACACCTCTAGGATGCATTCACAGGGGGTAAGTGTTGTTACCAGAACCACTAATTGCGTTCATTAACATGTCTCAGAATTAGGCATTAAGCTAAGGGAAGCATCCCAATCAGGATTAGGATAGGCGTTCAAAAAACTCTGGAAAGTTTTAGATTTCTCGCATCAGAATTTTTCCCCCGGAAGAGAGACAAGACTCATCCAATAGCGAAGATGAGGGAAAAAAAGAAACATCATGAATGGCGCAGCCCCCTTTCTTCTATTCCTCGGACGTTCGGCAGGTTTTGTTTATATTGTCGCGAAGCTTTCTCGATTTGCTAACACATCTTGAAAATTTCCATTTTCGCTCTTCATTAATAGTCATTGCACGTTTCTTAGGCAATGAAGATCTCTCTTTCAGAATTTGTTCGACTTGTGCTGGAACAACGCATACTTTTTCCCGTGAATATTCGTCTTACTTCCTTGAAGTTCATGGATATCATGGAACGCTTATTTCCCAAATTTAGTCGAGATTAACTATCCCCTTATTGTTCGGAGGAAATAAGTGAGAAAACAATTGGAATGGCATGGAACTTATATGAACAATTTTCATGAAATAGTGATGTGGACGACAGTTTCTTGTTGTTTCTTCTTTGGGCAGTTTCTTGAGTGCCACCACATCCACATGCTCTCAACACCAAACATTGGTTGTCTTTCAACAGTAAGTATGCGCTTAGCTCCTAGAGCGCAGATTTATATGTGATACATCTACATTGTTATGTAGTGATCACAAACAGCAGTGTATTAATGCACAATGCTTGAATTTCCTTTCAATTTATCCGAATCACACGAGTAGATTCTTAAGACAGTCGTACTTCCTTGAGAGTATTAGCAGTATTCTCTCTTTCACTGGGTGAGAAAATGAGATGAGGGGTTTTACCTAAAATTGAACATTTCTACTAAATCAAAGAGAACTATATGCTTACCAAGTTCCAGCCTTATCTGTTTCTTCTTTTTGATTATGTGAAAATATTTTTGGACAAGCCGATGCAGCCAAAAGCTATGCCCTGAGGGTATGTACCTCAAGACTTTTCTAAACTCAACATCACCTCAGGTATCGGTGTGCCAAATTTCACCTTTCTATTTCTGCCCAATTCGATAGGAAAAAAAATTCTTTGGAAACGACACCCCATTTCAAACATGACATTTTCTTGAACTGTGTCCCAGTAGGCACGTCCATGCCAGGTTTCAGGATTCCATGTCTCTCCGTTTGACTGGAGCAAATATATATATTTGAAAACCTCTCCCCTCGAAAATGGGTAGCCCCAGGGCATGCGCCTCCGAAGTCCGATTTTTTCTGAACTCCGCACCCCAAAAGGTACATGTGTATCAAGTTTCAAAGTTCTACCTCATTTAGAACATGGTCAGAATTAGCGTCAGTCAGTCACTCATTCACTCAGTCACGATCGTCTATGTACTATGTACCTCGTACTAGTATACATGTCCATTTACATGCCTATGAAGTAATGGGAAAACTAATTTTCAATTGTTTTCCCTTTCCTCAACCCTCCCTCTCTACGGAACTCACTATCGTTAGGAGTAGGCCTAACCAACAGACTGTCATCAGGTCACGCCAAGGCTTACCTTTTTCTTTTCAAAAGGAACTCTATTTTTGACTCACTGTGTCAATTAGGCCTTTAAAGGTTAATCGTGCCCTTCGAGACATCTGGTTGAGGACGTGTAACGTTTGGCCAATCGCAGGCCTATGCATACGTTCATGAACCATTTCAGAGTGGAGATGTAACGTTAGATCGATTGGAGGCCTGTTTCGCGTTTCATGAACTATTTCAGTGGGACGTAGAACGTTAGACCTATCTGGAGTTTTTCAAACCATCTCGAATGGGTCTGAAAAGATATGTCCTCAAGGATCATAGACACCATGGTACGCGCCATCCTGTTAATTCGGGGATGTCCGTATGAGATTTATGCATATCCCACCACATCGATTAATAACTGCCATCCATCACTTCATTCTCAGCTCAACTCATGAACTCAACACAAAAATGTCTCATACATTGAGGATGTCTCATACACTCGAGGAAGTTGAATTTTGCGGCGGGTTTAAGAAAGTTAGTAGGCGCTCCCAAAGCCTATTGATATATCTATATATTTTGTATCTATCTACCATGTACTAGTATATATAGACGTGAGTGAGTGACTAAGTATGTGACTGACGCTAATTTTAACCATGTTATAAAGAAGCTAGAAATCTAAAACTTGATACACATGTACCTTTTGCGAAGCAAAGTTCAGAAAATATCTGACTTTGGAATTATTAATACATGTCCAGATGACACATTTTTTGCAAAATGCGCATTTTCCAGTATCTTTTCTGATCAAATGAAAGAGAGATCTAAAACTTGAAACTTGCAGCAGAAATACCTTTTGGATTGGTGACTGCAAATCCTACTTTCCAAATATGATCCATTAGGGAAGGTTATGAAGAAATTTGAAGTTAGGCTCGCAAGAAATAATTGAAATAATTCTTAAGAGGAAAATATCGTTTTTTCCTCTCTCGGCATACATTTTGAGGGGCACAAATTTGTAACACTTTTTTGCCACTTTGAAATTAAGTTTAAAAAAAAAGTGATTCACTATACTGGACAATGGAGCGCCGCAGCCGCGAATACAGCGCGTTTGCTTGCCTAAACGGCAAACTCGCTAGGTATTAGAGTAAATTGACCTTTAGATGCCCTTATAAAAAGTCCGTCTTTTTTGGGGACTAAATAATTGCATACTGGTCACATTTAACCTTAATATGCATAATAATGCTGTACATCTTCACAAAAACCCTTATTCATGGAAAAAAACGGGGCAGTGGGGTATCCCCTCTTTAGAAGGGGAAAATGGCAAGTAATCCACCACCACGCTCGTGGCTAAACTACGCATGACCCTCCTTCTCTCTCCCTCACCCTCCCTTCATGGAGGCTCTCATGCCCTTCACGCGCCTTCTGGAATTTACATTATTGACGGCAGCACAATTTTGGCACAAATTATTGGCTTTGACATCGCTGGAAGACGGTTAGAGCCAAAACAGTTGCGGAAATTTCCTTATTGGTGCTCTGAGTTCATTCCATTATGGGTTCTCGCTCCAGACACTCGTTCAATATCTCCTACTAAACTGTTTGACCCCACTATCTCCTCCCCATTTCCTCAGATATTTCAAGGAAAAGACACGTGACGTCATTATCGCTTCAATTCTGAAGGCGACCATTTTGTATAGCCGCCTCTTTACCGATAGAACGATGACTTCCTTATCCATTTGACACCTTTGACTCTATGTTATGTAAGAGTGTCGATGACGTAGCAGGACGAATGAGACGAGAGGGAGGGAGTGTTAGACCGGCGCCCTCTAGAACAGACGGTCTTGGGCTTGGGATCTCCGCGGGCGACCGCGCGTTCTTATCCTTGTCTCCGCCGCTCTTCTTTCTTTTTTTACTGTATTTTTTTCTACCTCCTAGATGACGATTTCTGTTCGTTTGTCTCTACCACTGATTTTCTCTCGCGAGTAAATATTGCTTAAATAGTTCAGAGGCGCGTGAAATTAAAGAAAATATGAAGAGGGATTGTAGAAGGATCGCATGTCATGACATGCGTTCGCCTGCACAGATCCCGAGCCCCAGCACCGCCTGCGCCTTCTCAAGTTTTACTCGCTCCCAGCCCCCTCACGGGCCCCTCTCTCATCCCTTTTTTGTTATGGAACGAAGACGTTCTGCCAGCAAGGTTAGTGTGGAAAATGGGTTTATTGAAGGTAAATAAGTTTAGATTTGAAACAGGCTCTGGCCCCAGCAACCTCCAAGCCCACTAGAGGCATCTAGGGTAGCTTTACAGAGGCCTAAATATTTCACACGGTTTTGATCGTTAAAGTAATGTACAATCCCTGGCCCATGCAATACCCATATATAATTTTGAAATTCATTAGGTTGCAAATGTCACAATGGGTGTGTCATTATCAAACAGAAAGAAGGCATGTTTCATCATATAATCAACATTGAAGGATTTAGAGGCAGTGTCATGGACCCCTATCTCTTCCTGGGATTTTTGAACAGTGCACCTCGGGTCAAGTTATTTGCTTATTTCATTATGCAAAGGATAATTTGGAAACTTCAACCGTTTTTTGGCACCCGTTTTGCCAGACCATTCTAGACATTCATAGACCGGTGCCTACTTGAGGACCTTTTCGCGTATTTTTAATCACGAGAATCTTCAGTCAGACAATATTTGAACAGTCAGGGGTGAATTTCGCACACATACGGATATATTTACAATTACATGAGATAAAATATTTCGCGCACAGAGGCGCCCATCGACGAACCGAGGCCCCAATCCATAAGTCTCTGGAACTTAAATTATACGCCTATAGTCTGACAATGAAAGATATGAGACTAACCTGTCAGCAACTGTAGTCCTGAAACCCCCAAGTAGGACTCTTGCTGTCTTCTGAAGATGAGAGGATGCGAAAGCTGTGCGTAACACTGCATAAATATGCACAATGGGCTGAGGGGTAGGTTGCCGGCAATGATCCTCATGAGGCAGCAGCCATTAAACACGAAACTGTTATGACTCTTTACGAAAAATGAGACATCTATTTCGAGAATGTGGAAAACGTTTGTCAGTCAATTTCATTGAGTGATGGACTCATGATATCAACTCATGTCATTTTATTTGGTCATAATTAGCTTGTTGATTGACGCACTTCGAAATTCACATCAACGTTTCGACAGGACTCCTTTGCTCAAGGCCAAACTCAAAAATGCCCTGAAAATATTAGTATCTGTGACACAAAGCTTTATCAGAAGACATTCCTCACTATTTTGTTTTAGTCTGACTCATATATCGGGTGGTTAAAAAAATGCACCCAAATTTTTGCGTATATTTCTCAACTTTCAGATGAGCCTCAGGCGTACAAATCAGACTAAGTATACATGTATTCAATACATTACCTCTCGGCTCCACGAAAACTATCAGTTCATAACTACCGAAGTGGACCCACAGTTGCAGTTCGACCAATACACCTTGACATTTTCCAACTGACTCAGACCGAAAGGGCCACCGCACAAGCGCGGTACATCATCCAACTTACCTCCTGCTTGGCGTTGGAAGTCTAAATGGTGAGTCGAGTGATCCAACAGGAATCTGCTAGCATTCAATGGGCCTGAAATGAAGATTACCATGAAGGAGATCCGCAATCCCAGGAGATGACATGCCATATGCATCGCAGGAGGGACCCATTCCGATCAGTTGAGGAGTGATATGAGAAACTTCGACGGGTATTAGTCGAACAGCTGCTGCGGATGTACTCCGAAAGATATAGACATTCACGGTTATCATGGGGCCGAAAAGAAATATATATATGCTAGGATTTGTTGGTTTCTGCCTCATCTGGAAAAAGAGAAATGAACTGAAGAATTTCGGAGCATTTTGTAAATGCCACCCGGCTAGATGGCACTCTCCTTGAGTATATTTCTACCAAAGGAATCTATTACCATGAATGAATTTGTGCACCGTTGGAAATAATCCCTTTTACATTTCTGGCACTGTCTTTTGTGTGATTTTTTCATTCGGTGACGTCTTAATACTTCGTGCTGTTTCTTCACTTCATATAGAGTACGAATTCACGAATTGCTAGGGAATTCACGAGTAGAGAATTGCGTTTCAAGTCATGCCTTTTTATTGATCACCCCTAGGCTGCTGTTCAATAAGCATATCTAAGCCATAAGCAAACGGGAAAAAATATGGGACGATGGGCAGCAGTATACTTGTGGATTCGAATGCGTTTACTACGCTGCACCGGACAATTAAGATCAGTGGTTCCGAAACTTTTTTGGTCACGACTCAAAGTTCAACATACAAACCCTGGGTCGCTACCATGGGTTTGAGAACCCCTGCTTTAGGTAGTTAATTGAACTCAATTCCTGAAAGGGCGTTCCTCCTGGCAAAAAAAAAGAAAGCATTAGGTGATTCTCCGACGACAGCTCTCTGGCTTTTGGTACTTTCAGCGTGCGAAGATTTGATATGAAGTGGAATGGGCGGACGCGAACGGCACAGGCCACAATTCGCACGACAAAAGACACCGAAACCGATTAATGCAAACGTGAACGACTGGGCTGGGAGGAGTTGGGCGACGGGATGCTCCTTCTAAGAAGCTTCATTGGGGGAAGGGGTCGGGATAAGGAAAACGGCCTTCAACGATATGATAAACATGAAAGAGTGAGCACTATACAAGCGCATACCATCAATGTCAAGAGGGCAGACAGTACCATTTTCTGGCAGAGATGCCAGATGTCTTGTCGGTGTCTTCCAGCATCAACTACGTGTTCCATCACCCCCATGTTTCGGAAACTTGTTCCTCATTACGTATTGTATAGTAAATCGCCCTAGGACTTCCAAGTCCATGAATGTGGTCAATAATTTGTCCATGAAAAAATACGACAGCTCGTATTTGTTCATGGGTGAAAGAAGATGGGAAAGAAAATGTATGGGTGCCGAAACCAGCAAATACAACGATTTGATGGACAGGGGAATAATTATTGGATATTGGCTGACTGAATGCCGTAGTGGCTCATCCCCGTTGCGAACGATGTTGGAACTTAGGAGTCATAGACCATGCAGTCCTTTTCACGCCAAGGGTGCCAGATGCTCGCTTCCTACACGTCATATCCTCAAACCTCAACGGAAAACGTGAAACAGAAGGCCTTTCCGATACACAGGAGTAATAGCGGAATATATTGACAATATGGGGCTCTCATACTGGTCCTTTGGCCATGGTCGCACAATGTCAGGATCAATGTCGCAGAGAGCAGAATTAAAATACGTAGGTTAAGCATAGGAATTGCATGTTACCATTCCTGAACACTTGTTCCATTAGGGAAGAAATGACAACCTATTTTCATGATGCCGTCATATAACTGAGTTGATGGGAGTTTATTGGCCCTGAGCAAGTATTGTATTGTAGGGCAAACAAACTCGCTAGTATATAATATGCCTGGGCCTCCGTGTGTACGTTTCCCTCTCTGAGGCTCGCTTTTTTTTTATGCCAATGCGACATTCGGATCTATTTCCGATAACATAACACAGGGGGGTGGCTGTCGGGGGTGAGGGGGAAGAGTTCAGATGGCGTAAGAGGACGAAAAAAATTATGGAATGAACGGGAATTAAAACTTAGACCTACTGCTTGCTGATCAATTATGCTTCCATTACACCACGGAACCCAGGCGGTTAAGTTGTATTTCTCCATGCCATCCTTAACGCTACCACGGGAGAGAAAGGCATTCTACGCATGCCTCCGCCGCTCTCCTTCGGGTGTTCACATGTCAGACGCTACCCAAGGATGGTCCTGGCATAGTCATATCCTGGGATTAGTCGATAAAAGAGTTTCACCTCCCTCCTGCTGTGAGAAGCACCTCCGGGCAACCTGGTAAATACCAGGGCTGCTCTGGGATTGTCCCAAGTCAAGGAGGGGTTTGGAAAAAAGCCCCCCCAGAATTGACAAAAGCGGGAGAAAGCTTCCCAAGATGGAAATGCAAAAAAAGCCATCTGGGTGGTTGTTTCGTAATTATTCATTTCCATATTTGTTATGCATATCACATGATTAAAGACACTCACTTGACGATGTTTAGACGCATTCACGCAGGGATATGGCTGAGTCTTATCCATGTTTTTAAGGGTATTTTATGGTGAATTGCCACCAATTATTTAAGTAACATATTACTTATTTTTCGCTTCCATGGCGAATAAACTAATATTTAACGCTGAATACGAGGCCAGGTACGAAGGTGGTTCAAAAAGTTATGCAAATCATCATGTTGTTTGTAAAGAAGAATGTTAACAATAGGAACGCCACCGCCATTGGAAAGAATATGCATTGTTGTGTAGATAAGACCCAAGAAGAACCTCGAGTATTCACTCAAAAGTAAATAAATATAGTACTCTGGTTCAGAACCTTGCTCAGGACATTACTCAATCAGTGAATTCAGCTCTAAAATCTATCCCTGCCTGTTATTACCGTGGGGCTCTTCAGAATTGGCTGATGAGGTTGCAGCGATGCATAGATGCTGGGGGGGGGGGTACTTTGAAGGCTTAAATATATCATTATCTTAACACATGGGTGACGGGCCCCGAGAAATCTCGTAGTACGCTCGCGAGCGGTTGGTGACCGGCCCCGAGAAATCTCAGTTTTACGCACGACGTCGACGTCGTGCGTTTTACGCACGGTTTTACGCACGGTTTTACGCACGACGTCGACGTCGTCGACGTCGTCACCCATGTGTTAATTTATCAAGTCATTTCAAATTTGCAAGTTGAAGTGCAGAACTTTTTGAACCCTCTCTTATACTTGCAATGAAATGCAAATTGCCTTCAGCAATTTGCATTTAGAATCACGAGAGTCGGTCCTGAAACTCTTTGATTAGTCCTTTTAGTACAGTGTCCCGGATATCCCTCCACATGTTTATTGAATAGAACACCCAAGGGTAAAGGAACAACATTTAAGGAAAAATGTGATTCGCTAAAATTGCATCACATTTTGTCCTAACTAAAGGTTATACGGCGGAAATCTGTGTGGGTGTGAACGTTTCATTGAGTCATCCATTCGAGGTGCCTCCCCCCCCCTAATACATCAGAGAACGTCTGACTCCGACTGGGAAAATAGTTCATTGTTTTTCTCAGCATAGCCGGAGGAATGTGGCTGTCATGATATCGGGGAAATAATTGTGTTTGGTGAATTTCGCAATCACCCTCAGACAGCTTCCGAAACACAAAATTGTTCCCTCGAGTCGGACGAGCTCGCTGGCCACTCTCGGGGCCCCTTGCGACTAATCCATCGACTGGGTGTGTTCATTCAGGATGTTGCGATCCTTAAGGAACTACACTCAGAGGAATCGATAAATCGAAATGAAATTCTTCTCTCAATTTTCACGTTTCGATTTACTTTTCTCAAGAGAAAAAGACAACAACTGGATTTTCGATGTATATCTCTCGCGTCCCGACAGTGCAGGGTCGCCTGAAAGGCGTTCGTAAAACCAAAATCGGTCTATAGCCGAGTTGGAATGGTGTTTTGCATGGCCTTACGTCGTCTAGACACATGTTAACATCCGTATTCCACCTTATAGTGTCCGACTGTTAACTATGGATATTTAACAGTCCTTTAAGAATACATGGATTCCTATGGGAGAAAAGGAGCTCATTCGCTAAAAGCCCCGTTGTCTTGCCTAAATGAGGTTCGTGTATTCGAGCTTTAAGCTCAAAGCCGCTATACGTATTCCCACAATAGGACATGCAAGGCAAGTTTCGATGCGACTGAAGTTCATTACGAAATGCTCAATGCGGCAGAAGCGCATAATATACCTAACATATGCACGCATAATCAAATTAATGCATTTTCGTCGAGAAAAAGCTGTCCTCCATGTGATGCCTTTTTATCGCATCCAACATTTTATGCGATAACCGCATACAAAATTCGATGCGATGAAGACGCATCACATGCAATACATTTTTTTTCATGGGAAAAATGTATCTGAGGCACTGAATTTTCTGTGTGTAATGTGGTGGGAAACCATCCTCCTGGAAAAGATCCCAAACAGCATGTTTATGTTAATTTCACGTAAACAGAATGTAAATGTTTTGTCCATTTTATATCATTTTTACGCAAACCGTTGTCAAGAAAATGTCAACATGTTTGCAGAAATGTCACCTCTGAGATGCATAAACGGTGATATAAAATTAACGTACATTTTACGCAAAATTGACATTCCCGTTTGCATTCCAAACATCATGTTTCCATTCATTTTACGTAAGGTTTATGTTAATTTTCACTTGGCATTCATGTGTATTTAACGAGCCAATCAGTCTCATTGAAGAGAATTGATATGCTGAATCTCCCATTCCTTCACGTTCTTCAGAACTCTAGGGTGGCTGGACGAGTACACGAGTACTCATCCTCACCAGCACTCAAGAGTACCAGAATGACCTACTGCTTCCTTCTCCCGCATCAGACCCTCGGGAGGAGAAGTAGATGTTCAAAGGAGCTCTCTTCCTTTTAGGATAGAGAAGATGTAGTACTTAGGGGGCTGGGATTCTACTATTCCCCTAATCCCATGCACTGCTGTAATAAAAAGTCTATCTTCAGCATTTAATGAGTCCCTGAGTCATATATTATTAAAAATATATAATAATTTCATGTTTTCCATATATATATTCGTGGATTGCATAATAAAAAGTAGAAGGATGTAAGAAAACCTGATACTATATCAGGAAAACCAGTACTTAATAGTAATTGTAGGATGCAGGGAACAAGCGTTCCATCTAGTGAGGAATCGTGCTACTGCAACTGCAGGATGGTCAGCTAAAGTTTCATATGGATGGTGTGGTGTTAATTTTTCATAAACTTGATATCATGTACTACACGTCAAATGGAGTGACGTCTAGTTGATGTAAAATACATGTACACTTTGGTGACGCAAATATAGGAACGTACATTTTACGTAAACGTGATGTCTTTTTCATGGCAATTGCAAGAAATTTACATTGTTTGCAAAAAATTGATATCTTGTTTATGTGAACATGCTGCTTGGGTAGTAATATGTCCCCCTACGGGATGATGTTGATAGAATGCTTGAAAACGGTCAGATTAACTAATTATGTGGAATTTAAGCCCAATTGGCCAACAACTGAACACAGGCCAGAAACTAGAGTGCTTACTCTATACAGTACTGTATATCATTCATCACATATCAATATATCAATTATTTCTCACCCTTTTTTATTCTGTCAGATGCAGTTTACTTCTCAACGGACAAAACCAGGATTGAAGTACAATGGCTTGGTTTTACCCCTGATCCACAGATCTGCGCTCTGTTTCTGTCCATTGGGTCCTTCGTGGTCAGCAACCCGATTATGGACCTTCACGGACAGGCTTGATATATTTCATGAATAAAACCTGCCTTATGTCAGAAATCCCGTAATAGGGTAAACACTCCAATTTTTGGCCACACTGATACGACTCCCATAGGAAGTGGACACCCTGTGCGCAAACCGGGAAACACGAATAATATGTCCTCTTACGGGATGATGATAGTATGCTTGAAAACGGTCAGATTAATAAGTATGTGGGATTTAAGCCTAACTGACCAACAGCTGAACACAGGCCAGAAACTGGGGCGTTTACCCTATACAGGATATCATCCGTCACATTTATCAATTATTTCTCACCCTTTTTTATTCTGTCAGATGCAGTTTACTTCTCAAGGGACAATACCAGGATTGAAGTACAATGCCTTTGTTCTACCCCTGATCCACAGCTCGGCGCTCTGTTTCTGTCCTTTGGGTCCTTCGTGGTCAGCAACCCGATTATGGACCTTCACGGACAGGCTTGATATATTTCATAAATAAAACCTGAGTTGCAAGGTCTAAACGGAGAGGAACTCACCTTTTCCATGAGATGCTTTAAGTCCTTGCAATGAGCGGACTCTGCAAACACGTGGCAGATGGACTGGATGAACCATGCTCCTTCTTGCGTATCTCTGTAGGCCGACTGATCTGTGAGGAATAGGGATTGATGTACAGCAGAAGCTACCGAGTGACAGGGATTCCTATGATGACTAAGTGCCAAGCGCCGTGAAAACGATATTTTGATTCGGAATGACCATAAGAAGGCGGCAGTTCTTACATGGTATGGTGGAATTGGCAACGAAAATGTCATCAGCATCGAGAACCATTCTCAATTTCTTGCTATCTGTTTCTACAAAGTTCCTCACCCCATCCCCGTCTTGTGGTTTGCCTCCCCTAATGAAAAAACTGAGATTTTGATTACCAGTTCATCTAATATTGGAGAATCGTCGCTGATTGTAATATTTCGTGCACCAGTACCGGCAAGACTGGATGATGAAGAGCTTAGGTTTCCCTTTCAAGGCTTTAATTGCTGTAAACGTTTGAATTATCCATTCCACCTCAAGCTCCTTGTCATCCGAGGAGAAAACCACATAAGGACAAGGCACGGAGGAGGACCCAGGCTGACCCAACAAGGGTCTCCATGCTCCATCGAGATTGGAGTCTGGGGCCTGATATCCGTGACTCATGATGACAACGACGCAGCAGTCGCTCTCCTGGTGGTCGGGCATATTTGCAAAATCCTCCAGCTTCCTTTTCATCACCTACCCAGAAATTCCAATCATATCTTATACGCTTTGTCAGTGACCTCTGACTCGCGTCATTGAATCTATTAGAACCGCGTACTTTCTTCAAGTGCGCGGAGATTGAGGAGGCCATTATCGAAAAGTGTCTGGCTTATTGCATTTAGTACGATAAGGAAATCGCGCAATATTTCTGTGAAGAAACCATTCACATTCTCCCCCGAAATTTTAAAAACATTTTAGATTGTTGGAGTCTTGAGAGCTTCCTATTTAGACATGCTCCTGAATGTCATCATCGTCCCCAAAATCTGGCTGATGGTTCGGCTTACATCTAGATTGAGGTCCTTTTCGGGTATGACGCGGAAATGCAATTGATCGAATAGGTCCCCAATCTTGACCGTATCAACATCCGAACCTCGTCTTTCCTTTGCACCGCTAAATGTCTTGTTGTTGATGATGAGTGCTAGGCCTCGGGGATTCGAAGTCATCTTGTAGGCGTCCTGTGAAAGGCAGAGAAGAGCCAGGTAGAGAGAGAAGGGAATGCACATAAGCGACATATCATTTTCCTTCCTTCTATTCATATTCAGGCGCGCTAAAACTCGCAATCCCATTACAGTGGAATCCACAGCTTTGTTAAAATCTTAGCTATTTAACCCCAACCGTTTCGAAAGAAATGTTATATTCACTTACCGGAGGTCCTTTGGGTTTGTTGGTTATCCCAACATATAAAGGCTCTGAGAGGATAACGGATCTTTCTTTTTGAGCTGTACCAGCATGGCCACGGGTATCCTGCCCCTCGGTCGCTCCCCTAGCTGCTTCTTCAATGCTTCTAGGATAATTTCAAAGAATACCTGCTGTTACATTAAGATTTCCAAGTGAGTAATACTTGTCCGTTCATTCCATACCTGTTCGGATCCGGTTGCCCATGATTTGATTGCTGAGCAGGCGAATCTCCTCGCCATTCTACGTGAATGCAACAGAAGAGAAACGCTTCTTCTCATATCCTGACCCATGATACCTCCAAAAACCAAATTAATTCAATGCACAAGCTAAAAAAGTATCATGTAAATTCTAATGCGGATCCTTTTATTTTTACTGAATTTTAGAATAGAATAATTTACAGCAATAGACTATCACAGTGTGCTTCATCAGTTACATTTTGAATTAATTGTTTTGGAAGTACGCCGATAATTTAAGCATTCAGCATATTCCAAGGGGAGGTGCAAAAGACATGTTATCATGTTCTTTTTTATCATAGCAGCTTAAATAAATAAACTGGGAGTCGGGGTGTCTCGCCTTCGCTAAATATTAAACCAGGCAGACATTCTTAGTTATAATGAAGTCTCAAATATATAATTTATAATGGGAAGCAAAAACTCACGTATGGAGACACCTGATGAAGGAAAATCTTAACTTTAATTCAATATGATGATGTCAAATAATTTATGGAGAAAAATCTTCACTTCTTTTAAGGACTGAATGTTGAGACTGGAAGTTCACTAGGACTTCAAATTATGGTGAGGGTCCTTGCGGAGCAATATGAGCGTTAAAAAAATAAATAAGAAACTAGAAAACATTTAATGGATTATTACGGGACGCAAATAAATTGATATGGTCTTGGAAAATAGGAAATGATTTACAAAAAAAGGGGGGGACTGGGGTTAGCGATTATACTAATGAAAGCGAAGAAGTGCAATCGATAACTACTCTCTTATATGAGTAGAATCCATAATTTTTTTAAGAGTACGAAACGAAGGAGGGAGAGTTTCAAACAAGTAGAAAAACTTAGCGTTTATCTTTAAAAAAAGTGACGAGTTATACTACTTCCTCGTTTTTAGGGAGTAAAATTCCTAACACCAGTTTTGCTCCCTTTTCCCTCACTCCCTTCTAAGAGTGCATGTAGGTGTCCTCGTCATTTGGCCAGACTCGATCTTTTCCCTGGTTACGGAAAAATAAAGAATGACTAAAAGAATGTTGCGATACCTCTTTCCATGTCCTCCGCAAGATTGGTTTCACCGAGGTCATGGAGAATGCGAAGGAAGCACGGGAATGCGAGGTCTCCACGCGTTGGCAATTCCCTCTGGAGAAATCTAACTTGATGTTCTCTATTTCTCTCCCTCGCTTCTTCAACTTCCAGAAATCTGAAGATGCGTTTTTCATGTAACTTCGCTAAAACTTCCCCAATCTGAAGCATTTGCAATCTCTCCGTAAACTTCGAAAGGATTATCGCAACATCCATGGCGAAAAATCCCCCTCCAAAGGACCTGTGGAAGATCCCTTTACTCAGCGATGAGTATTTTCAAAAAGAAGCCGCCTATCCCTCATTCTCGTATAAATCCAATTGATATATTTTTCTGCAACAGGTAAAGCAAACACAGGAGAATACTATATATTTTGGTCCGGATGGTTTATTTTTGAGTTCAGTAGTATCAGACTTTTATAAATTATTATAACAATCCCACATGCATGGTACCCTTTAATTTTTTTCATTATCAATTGAAGAATGAGCTCCGAATAAAATGTAATATGTGAGTACATTGCTCTTTAAAATTATCTGTAACCGGCCATCTTAACTGTCCATTGCTATTGCACTTCTGATTTATTTGGTAAACTATGCTAAGCAAACTCGCTATTGTCGCGCCTTCGGCGCTCCATTACCTTCGATAATGATTAATTCATTCATGCTTTGCGAAATGGCAAACACGTATTTAAAGTACGTCCCCATTGAAATATGTAACATATGTGGACGAAAGTGTTTATTTTCATCAAAATCATTACTTCTATGATTTAAAGTGTGCCTAACATGAAATGTTTCCATGTGTCCCTTTTGTAAGGGTGGAGAATACATTTTGAAATACTTCCCTCCTGTAATCTATGCTAAGGGGACATATTTCAAAAGTAGGATTTTTCCCTCACTCGGCCATCAAATAGGGACTTCTAAGGGAAGTTTCAATTTTCTGTCTCCGTTTCGTTGGATCAAGAAAGATCAATAAAATGGGACTGAGGGAAAAAGTGACTTGATGTGTGTTAACGAAAATTTTTTTCTTCAAAATGTTGGCTCAGGTAACTCCATGCCACCCAGTTTTTAGCTTATACATTTCCCCTTTTTACTGGCGGTAAAAAAAAATTATTTTGAAAAGCGACCCACCCAAAAGCTATGCTCTGAGGAGAGGCACTACAGAAGTTGCATTTTTCCTCAAGTCAACATCACGTCGGTTATGTGTGCGCCAGCTGCTACTTTTCTATTTCTTCACGATTCGCTAGGATATGAAAAATTCGTTGAAAACGTAACGTCCCCAAGGAATATCCCCTCAAAAATTCCAATATTTTGGAAATTTGACATTTTTCCTGAGCTATGCTTCAGCAAACAGGTTTTTGCTTAGTTTCAGTTTGCCATGTGTCTCCGTTTGATTCAAAGAGAACTATTTGAAAATATGTTCCCCGAAAAAGTGTGCCCCTATGGCATGTATCATCAAAGTAGAACTTTTCCTCAACTCAGTATGCGACTAATGTCAGTCAGCTAATAGTTCTATTCCCGGCTCCCGGCATAGCTTTTGGGTGTGTCAGCTTTTCCAAACATGTTTTTTTTATCACCAGCAAAAAGGGCAAACGTAGAAAGTTGAAACTTTGTGAGCATGTAGTTCTCTGAGGAATGATTTCGGAAAAGAAGAAGGTACTTTTCGGTTAAAACACCTCAAACGCAAACATATTGCAAAGGGCGGATTTTCGCGAATTTCAGATCCAGCAAAACAGAGGGAGCTAGGAAATTTACACTTGGCAAGAAAGAACCTCATGTATAGCTGAGTTAATGAAAGAAAATTATTTTATTATAAATAAACGATCGTGACGGACTGACTGCCATAGGTCGCATATTGAGTTGAGGAAAAAATTATACTTTCGTAATACATTCCAATAGGGGCATACCTTTTCGGTGAACATATTTCCAAATAGTTCTCTTTGTTTCAATCAAAGGGAGACACATGGAAAACTGAAACTTGGCAAGAACGTGATTGTTGAAGCACAGCTCAGGAAAAATGTCAAATTTCCAAAATATAGGAATTTTGGGGGGGATATTTATTGGGGACGTTACGTTTTCAACGAATTTATCATAACCTAGCGAATCGGGCAGAAATAGAAAAGTAGCAGCTGGCGCACCCATAACTTAGGTGATGTTGATTTAAGGAAAAATCCAACTTCTGTTGTGCGTCTCCTCAGAGCACAGCTTTTGGGTGGGTCGCTTTTCCAAATACATTTTTTACCGCCAGTGAAAAGAGTAAACGTATCAGCTAAAACTGGGTGGCATGGAGTTCCCTGAGTCTACATTTTGGAAGAAAAAAATTGTCGTTAAAACCCATCAAGGCACTTTTTTTTAAGTCCATGCGTGACCCATGCGCATAACGTTTCAATATTATGCGTTTGCCCTTTTCGCTGGCGAGAAAACATGTTTGGAAAAGCCGACGCATCCAAAAGCTATGCCCGGAGGGGATGCTCCTTGAAAGCTGAATAACTCCTCAAATCAATAATAATAATATCATGTCACTTATACGTGTGTCAAGTCATTTCTGTCGAATTCGCCTAGACAAAATAATTTGTTATACATCGCCCCTCGAAAAAATTCCCCCATGGGATACATCAAAACTCAACATTTTCCTTTAACTCTTTGTCTCAGTAGTCACATTCATGCAACGTTTCAGCTTTCCATGTTCATCAATGTAACTGATGCAAAATAATCACTTGAAAACATCTCCCTTTGAAATTTTGTGCCCCCCGGGCATTAACATCCAAAGTCTGATTTTTTCTGCACATATCATCCCAATAGGTAGTTATGTACCAAGTTTCATCTTTCCACACCAGCTCCAGAGGGGATGCACCAGCTTTCATGGTGCATCCCCTCCGGGCATAGCTTTTGGGTGGGTCGGCAAATCTAAACATGTNGCATCCCCTCCGGGCATAGCTTTTGGGTGGGTCGGCAAATCTAAACATGTTTTCTCACCAGTGAAAAGGGCAAACGCATAATATTTAAAAACGTTATGCGCAAGTAGTTCACTGAGGATGGATTTGGGTAAAAAAAAAAAAAAAATTGGTACGTTTTGGTTAAAATGGTCCAGGGCACATATTTGCAAAAGGCGTAATTTATCGAATTTTCTGATACCGCAAAAGAGAGGGCGCATGAAAGTTAAAAAAAAAACTTGGGAAATGAGTCCCTTATGAATAGCTGCGTAAATGAAAAATTCTACTTTTATTATATACTAGCGAGTTTTTTTTGTCCTTCAGGCAAATAAACTCGCTATGGTCCCGCCTTCGGTGCTCCATTACCTTGGATCGTCATTAATGTATTTATTCTTTGCGAAATCAATCCTCAGAGAACCACACGCCCATACATTTTCAAATTCCAGCAAAAGACTGGGAGTTTCTTAAAGCAAATATTTTTAGCATGGCAAAGATAGAAACGAGCTGGAAGATCTTTCGAAAGAAAACACTGAAATCGGTATATGCAGAGAAGAGACAGATAAGGGTATAATTATTGGATATTGCCCGAATGAATGTCGCAGCGACGCATTCCCGTAGCTGTCGACGTTCCCATTTCCATGGGAACGTCGACCATGGCTCATTTTCCCTGCCAGGGATGCAAGATATCCTCTTTCCTTAACGTCATGGCCTCAAATAGAAATATACGTGGAGCAGAAGGCATGTCTGACACGAGACGATGGAAGCGCGAGAAGTTGATGACATGGAGCCCACATATTTTAAAAATCTAAAAATCTGTAAAGCATGGAAGCTTACAAATGTTTAGATTCGTTTTTTTTTCCCTTGCAATCGTTTTTAACACGCGAACGAAGAAACTGGGAAGGGAAATATCCTTTTTTTCTACATTAGTTTAACCGTTACAATGTCACCGTTCCCGCCTCATCCAGTGTTTTTTAAAAATTATTGTTTTTCCTCAACATTTTACCGCTCCTCCCTCACTTCCTGCACTTTTCCCTGTGATTTGCCTCACTTTTCCCCAAATTTGTCTTTTTTACCTACATGGCATCCCTTGCCACAGACTTGCCTCTTCCTTCCATACTACTCTGATGTAATTCTCGCATTTTATGATAGGTGTAACATGAACACTGAGAATATGGTTAAGATATCTTAATTACATCACCCGTATAGGTGTTATGATCGAAGAATATAAGCGTGGCTTACACAAGAGGATCACATCGCAAAATAGTCAACAAAATCAATTTCTTATTCCTTTCTTTTTTCTTATTTGGAAATAGTCGAAATTTCGCAGACTCTGAGATAAGCTGAGCCTAAAATCAATGGAAAAAATTCACATCACAACACAAATAACATTTTTCAGATGGACCCGAAAACAAACACTGGGTGAGACTGACTTGCAGTCAAGATGGCTACCGAAAGATATGGGGATTATCGTAGTTCCAACGCGTCTCAGAAGGATAATGAAGGCAAAGCCGTTAAATATAAGTGGACGAGGTGGTAACGGTTTTTCTCATGGGTCCGTATTATCTTATCCTCTTGGGCGCAAACTTTATCATGAACATGTTGCACGTCCTCCATAGACTCCATATCAGTCTCATAAAAAGCTGATATGAGTGGACATTTTCAACAACACCCTTAAATGTGACGTTTTTGGTCATACGAATCCGAAATAACAAGTAATCCACGCACTTACATATTTCTCAATTGTGAAGTGGTTGGAATGTAATGGACCAAGAAAATCAAGAACGGATTTAAGGAGGTTCTCCACTGGACAGGGCTTTCCCAGCTTCTTTTTAATACCCTCCTCTGAAACGTAGGAGAGGCGTTCCAGCTCAAATGGCCAAATTTTAGTCACTTCCGAAATAGTCGAAATTTCGCAGACTCTGAGATAAGCAATCAAGGTGCTTCTTTCTCAATTGTGAAGTGATTGGAGAGTAATGGGCCAACAAAATCGACCACGCCATTGCAAGAACATATTTGCAAGGCGGAGGGAGATTGAGAGGAAGAGAGGCAGGCATAATCCATTAATGTGCGAGAATGATGACCTTGTCTATTGAATATTTGAGATGAACCGAACCAGGCCTCGTGCGCGGTGCCGTGTCAGCAACCAAAACTGTCTTCTTTGCCAGCCTCCGTGACGAATGAATGGAACCACGCACAACCCTCCTTCGTCATTTCGCAGGCACCGTTAGTCTGTGTTCGGCAAATGTAGCCGAGAAATGAGATTCGTAAGGGTCGAGGACTGGAAGGAGGCATTCCTTTCGTTAGGTGAGTAAATGATGGTCCGGTTAACTGAAAGGAGGTCCACCCCAGGACTGGCGCTAGTAAAGCTTCTTTTTAATAACAATTTCCTCTGAAACGTGCGAACGAGGTAAGAAGCAATAGGTGAATGAAGGTACTAAGCGTCCAGCGAAGTATATCCACTGGAATTCATTGTGTTTTTATGAATAATAATTTAAGTTGGAGGTTAAACATATTGCGTGGGCGATCCTTACTGCTAGCGAGGACAAACATACCAGGATTTCAATAGAAATATTCCCTATCATCCGAGAATATGCCTTTGTGATATTACATTTGCAAATCTGTCCCACGAAAGGGAGTGGAGGCAACTTTCACAGAAAATCGCAGATTCGCCCTCATCTCCACATCTTTCAGATGGACGAGGAGACGGATGGATGAGGTGCCGTCGTACTCGAAAGGGAGCGGTGGCCTCGCTCACTGTGGTGCGTCCCAACGTCCCAGCGTCCGAACCTAAAATGCTAAATTTTGCCACAAGCAGCAACCCACGACATCTAGCTACGGCCACTCGATGGTTCGCTGATTGAACTTTTCGTATTCCAGCACAGGCGTGACCAGCAGAACGTCAAAATCCATCATCATTGAAGACCATGTTCTCTCTGAAGGGAACTTGAAGTGAAGTTGGATTAAAACAAAGAAT